TGGAATCTGAATTTTGGCTTCTATTTTGGTTCCAATCCTATTTTCAGCTGCCATTTTGTCAAAAGCTGCAGGATTTTACAATTTTAGAAATACTAAATAGCATTATAGTATCATTTGCTGCAAAAAAGGAATCGTTGAACATACAGCAAGGTTCTTGATATCAGATTGTTTATGTTTGTAAAGAACGTGTATCAGTTTCTATCAGAGTTCATTACAAGACTCTTTGCTGCCTAATTATTGTTAGGATTGTGGCAGTACATCTCATGATTATAATCATATTACTTCAATTTTAATTTTTATTGGACTCTACTTGCTGAGATCATGCCCGCCACACTCTCTTAAGGGTATTCGAGTGTAAAATATTTTGTTCTCTAGAAGGATTATCGATAAATTTACCAGACTAATTAGATTGTGTATATATTAACGCTCTCTCTATGCATATCTAATTGGACAAAATGCAATAGAAATACATAATCCATGAACATGATTTGCATGTTGCACGTTGATCGCAATTGTTCACGTTTATCATTCTGTGAATTTAGTTTTTTACAAAAAATTTCACGCAACTACACATTCAAAAGAAAATACGTGAAAACAAGCAATCATAAGCTCATGTTTATGAACAATCGTGCAATTTATGCTTATTTGGTAAACATAAATAGTTTTGTAGTTGTAACAATAATAAAACAAGACACAAGATGAAGTGAAATTATTATGAAACAGATAAATAGCATTAAAAGCAATTTAGTTTTTCCAAGTACCAGAGCATCTCTAATAAATATTGCCTCATTGCATTCTTAAATGACTGTTACATAATGTAGTAAGTAGTTGATGTACATTAAAAAAAATCCTTTTGTGATTGCCTAATTTTATACATGACTCTTTGCCGCCTATTTGTTGCTAGTATTGTCTCAATACATCTCATAATTATTATCATACTAACCCAATTTTAATTTTTTATGGACTCTGCTTAACGAGAGTTCGCATGTTAAATAGATTTTTTCCTAAAAGGATTATTGGTAAAAATAGTAATAATAACTAACAGTGAGATCCCAAGAAAATAAGGAATAAATAGAAAAATTACCTTGACTACGTTGATAGCGATGAGTTTTAGCTAAAAACATTATATTTAGCAATCTAAATGACTGTTGATTCATCACTATATCGAGCATTTGGGCATTAAATATTTGTTAATAACCTACGAATGTCAACAAATTGGAAGATTTGAGGAACTAAGAAATTTTTTGGTAAACAATGAAGTAAAAATGACAAGCTATAAAGTGCGTTTGAATAAGAAAAATCAAAGTAGGAAAAAACTCAAGAATATAATTACCCAAGCTGTACTTAAAATCTCCACACATTCAGAATTTGCTTTTAAGTTTCTGTTTTAGAGTAGTCAAACTCTTGTTTCATCATTCTCCACGATTAAATATTTGGTTTTTTCTATATTTTGTAATTCTAATGATTATAAATATATGTCCATGTGGAAATACGTAACCCATATTATAATTTTACACCCTAACTTTTATGTGCATGTGTGGAAAGTAGGAAATTACCCAAAAATACCACATTTTCTTTAATCAAGTACTGAACAAACGACAATGATTAAATAGAATACATGATTTTGTAGCTCTAATAATAATAATTGTTAGGTTTTTAATGTAATTGGAAAGTCTGTGAACAAATATGACTAGAATTAGTACGATGTAAAAGTTAGGGAGTAAGTTGCAAATATTATAAATTGAGTTGTATTAGGTCTACGGTTTGAGAATGGAAAGAAGGGAAAAAAAAAAAAAAAAAATAGCATTGCAATTTCGCTAGATTGTCACACAGTAGCAGAAATAGAAACATTGTCCCTCGCCTGTCGCCTTACCTTCGTTGGAGCGACTCCCTCTCGTTCGCCTATCCCTAAGCTCTCACTCGAGTGACAGGGTTATGCGAAGAATTTTAATTCGCATTTTAAGGCTTTTTGTTCGGCCCATTTAACCCTAAACCTACAATATAAATACCAGAAAGCCTTTGAATGGTTTTTGAGAATGTTGAATATTGAGAAAACACATATTACTTCATATCCTCTTCATCAAAAGCATCTATAAGCTTTCAACATTCACAAGTAGATTTATTCTAGACAAAGAAAATATCAAATCAATATAATCCAAATACCAAACTACTACTTCCTAAACATACGTCAGATTTCTGAATATTAAGGGAAGATGACTGGAGTTCCAGTTGTTGGAAAACGTGGAGTTCTTCGTTGATCCACATGAGATAGACGAATTCATAAAGTCAGGAGTTAGTGCACGAGCATGCAATCTAGGAGGGTTGTAGGAATTGCAGTCATGAGGTCCGAAAGTACTAGTGGTAGTTGTGTCTGGTGGACTGTAAGTTCAAAATTTGTTTATAGTGGATTTTTCACTGGCAAAGTGCTCGAAGTTTTTATTTCGTTGGGGTTTCTCCGTGATCATGCTGGTATAATTTGGGTTGAACTTCGTAATTTCAATTGAAATCAGAGCCAAATTTCGATTCCTAACCCATAAATTAATCTAGATGAGTCACTCACTATCCGTGCCTCCATTTTTATACGGAAGCAACTATGCTTACTATAAAGTTAGAATGAGAGCATTCCTTAAATCCTTAGATAAGTGTATCCAGCTTAGTGTTGTGAATGGTTGGGCTATACCTAGTTCCATGGTTAATAATGAAGTGATCCTCAATCCCATTGCTAATTGGACAAGAACGAACTTAGATGAATGCAATTGGAATAGTAAGGGGTTTCATCTCCTGTTTATGGCTGTGTCTGTAGAGGAGTTTAGGAGAGTGTTGATGTATGAAACTGTGAAAGAGGTTTGGGATATCTTAGAAACCGCACACGAGGATACCAAAACTGTTAAGAACTCCAAACTGTAAATGTTAACCTCTAGGTTTGAAGAAATTAGAATGAAGGACGATGAATTGTTTGATGAATTCTATGCGAAGTTTAATGACATGATAAACTCCAACTTCAACCTAGATGAGAAGATCCCCGAGTCTAAAATTATTAGAAAAGTCCTTAGATCCCTAAAGGTTTAAACCTAAGATCACTACTATAGAAAAAAGTCTTTTTGTTGGTATTTGATTTTTTGTGATGCTAATGTTTTTGTTGGTATTTGGATTGACATTAGTGTTACATATCAATCTAGCTAGTGTTAATATCTTGTATTTACTAATTCTATTATTTCATCTTTCACATACTTTTACACTAGTTATTAAGTTGTCTGTTTCAGGAAACATGTTTTAACAAAGAAAAAAAAATACATTTTAGCCAAGACAGTTGATTTGGTAGTAGCAGTTGTTTTGAGTCTTTTTTTTTTTACTACCTTCAGTGTAGTTTGTAGTTTTGTCGCAGAATGTCAAAAGGAGAGCTTGTTAGGTTTTTAATGTATTTGGCAAGTATGTGAACAAATAGGACTAGAATTAGTACGTTGTAAAAGTCAAGGAGTAAGTTACAAATATTTTAAATTGAGTTGTATTAGGTATAGGGTTCGAGTATGGAAAGAAGGAAAAAATGGCTCTGCAATTTCGCTAGATTGTCGCCTTGACTTTACTCGGCGGCTGAAACATAAACATTATCGCTCGCCTATCACCTTGCCTTCGAGCGACAACTTGTCGCTCACTTGTCGCTAAGCTCTCGCTTGAGCGACAAGGTTATCTGGAGAATTTTAATTCCCGTTTTAAGGCTTTTTGTCCTGCTCATTCAATCCTAAACTTACAGTATAAATACCAGAAAGTCTTTGAACGGTTTTTGAGAAGGTTGAACATGTAGAAAATACATATGGCTTCATATCCTCTTCATCAAAATCATCTACAAGATTTCAACCTTCAAAGTTTGATTTATTCTTGGCGGTGAAAACATCAAATCCATATAATCCAAATACTAAACTGCTACTTCCTAAACATCATTAGGGAAGGTGATTGGAGTTCCAGTTGTTGGAGAACGTGGAGTTCTTTGTTGATCCACAGGAGATAGACGAATTCATAAAGTCGGGAGTTGGTGCATGAGTACGCAATCTAAAAGGGCTTTGAAAATTGCAATCGAGAGTTGGTCCAGGAGCATGCAATCTGGGAGGGCTGTGAGAATTGCAGTTAGGAGATCAGAAAGTACTAGTGGTAGTCGTGTCTGGCGGATTGTAAGTTCAAAATTCGTTTAATATTTTTTCTAAGTTGTGATTTCTCCGTGATTATTCTGTTTGTTATTTAATATTTTGATATAAATGCAGTAATTCAACATAAGAAAATTGGACTATTTGATTAATTATTTAGAAATAATTAAAAGTGACTTGTTGTTATGTAATTATTAATTTTTAATTCCTCATAATCACCTATTTACCCCCCATTCTAGGTGTAATTTGGGTCAAATCTCGTAATTTCAACAATAAAGGACAAAGGTAACTCTAATCAATTTCCATTTCTCAATCTAAAAATTGATATTTATAGAGTGTAATAAGTTAGTGATGTATTAGAATGCGATTACATAGATAGTACATTAAAACCCTTTTATAATTATGTAAATTTATGTAATATGAAGCATTCATTTTAAAGGAGTTAAAAGTTATATAATGTAACCTAACTAATTATATTGTTTACATATTAATGTTTTCTCTACACATTTTTTATCAGCCATATTGCATTAGAAATATGTAAGAATTTATGCACTATGCACATGCTTTTGCATGCTCTATGTTGGTCACGCTTCTTCATGTAGTTAATTATGTGCTTATTCATCATTCTCATATATAAATCGTTACTTAATTTTTAATGGAACTACACATGAAAACGAAAACATGTTAAAACAAGAAATAATAAACTCATGTTCATAAAAAATCATGCAATTTTTGCTTATTTTTGAAAAATCTAATATATAAACCTTAAACAGATCCATTACAGAAATGGAGTAGAAATAGATCTGTCCTTGTATTTTCCTATATTTGGTTACAGGAGTTAAAATTCTTGGAAAGAGAGGGATGGACGAAGTAGCAAGTTACGAAGAGGTATGCAACTCACTAATGGTTGATAATTGTTTTGTTTTGGAAAACTTTTATTTTCATTTAAATGGAAATTCTTATTTTACTAGGGATATTAATTGAAATTTTGAGTAAATATCCTATTCAAATTTGTTATTTTGGGTTTTCTTTGATATAGGATTTACTGGGAGATCAACTGGCAGTTGATTGAATTTTATTTACTTTAATTCAGAAGGTCACCAAATATAATATGTGCAGATATGATCTATATGATCCTGAAAACATCAACGTTCACTATAACAAAAGTAGCTTTTTACGGCATTTATTTACGGCGAGCATATAAAGCATGCCGTAAAATGAGAGAGACTTTTGACGACATGCGTTAAATGTTTGCAGTAATAATTCAATTACTTAAAAGTATTTACGGCATCATTCTCAAGCATGCCGCGTTAATTTCTGTGATTAGTGATGCTTGCAGAGGTCAGAACATAGTGGTTAAAGAAAATTGATCATTTATGTGAAGTTAGATGAGGGGAATGCTCTAGGTAACCAGTCAGTCGACATGGGCTTACCCCTTTTTCGTGCAACTATCCAAGTGTTCTGTGGGGAGCAAAGACCTATGGTCCATTGAAGGTCTGATATTTCCAGCCTCTGTTTATCTTTGAATGCAATGTTCATTCTGTGAATGCTCTATCTAGTTGTCATTCAAGGACCCTTGTATGTGAACAACGCAATTCTCAGCCTGCAGCAGTCAGGTGTATTGAAGAGGAGATCTCACTCTGTCAAAACTGCAACTGGTCTTCACAAGCTGCCCTGCTTCAGCTGCAGGCCATAAACAACAGTCAATCAATTGTTATTCTGGATGCCCTTCTGCAACCGAACTTCCAAGTATTTGGTCATTCTTTTCAGCAAATTATTCAAGCTGCAATCCTTGAATCTTTTTAAATAGTTTGGAAAAGGAAGAATGGAGCCACATGGAGCTTCGAATTTTTGCCCGTGAATTTAATGATGATATAAATATAAAAATTATGACAATACTAAAAATGACATCGTTTATAAATTATACTTGTTTCTTACAAGTTTTCATACCTCGATATCGTTGGATTGCATAAAGATAGGGTGAAAAGACTAATATGTTGCAGTAGCTATACTCCCAGGCACCTTATCAAGAGATTGAGCGAGGTGTTACAATTTTGTTTTAGATTGTTGCCTTTCGTCTCTTTCATGTGAAAATCAGTGGTTTTTCTGGAATCAATGTAGGCTAAGGCAGTAGGATTATAGACAATAAATTTATTTTTCCCCCCTTTTCACTGACTACATCTTCACATTTTTCTCACTAATTACATTTTGATTAGAACAATTCAAAAGGAAATTTTAATTAACACAACAAACATCATGTAACTCGCAAAGTTCATTTTATAATATAATTCAGCAAGAAAGGCATAAAAGACTCAATACAGCAAGAAAGGCATAAAAGACCTAATAATAGCATCATCAGAATAGATACATACCACTTTATGGGAATGTAGAGGTCCATATTTTTTCCCTCCTCGTTCTCTACATCTTAGCAAATTGTTCAACTCCAAAAAAAAGTCAAGCACCTGTATAGATAAGATCATCAACATATAGAGCAATAACGAGTGTACTGTTTGTACCTTGATTTTTGATGTAACGAGAAATTACGAGTGTGCTGTTTCTTTTGTTTTGTATTCTGTAAAGGGCATTTAATTGTTAAACTTGAAAGAATTAGAATTTTATTCATTCTAGCGTGTACTTTTGAGACGTGATTTATTTGTCATACTAGGTGATTGCTCCTTTATGACATATTTGTAATGTTGGATGAACAATTTATACGAAGATTATGCTACTAAATATTGTAAGTGAATGATATCATGGGAAGTAATACACTAGTGAATAAAGTATCATTTATACGAAGATTATGCTACTAAATATTGACCTAAATTAATCCTACTTTTTGATTTAAGAGAATATGCGAGATAAGACAATAATTCAATCATATTTCCAACTAAATTTCTCAAATTTAATTAATAATCTCTTTTGAATAGAATTAATTCAATCTCGGTCTGACTTTACTAAATAAAAATGTTCATTAGATTACTACAAAATTTACAAACGAAGGTTGCAAAATTCAGAGAAGTATACGTCTATTTTTATCTGGAATCATGAATTTTATGCTAGAGCTAAATTGATATTTTACATCTTGGTTTCAACAAGCATTCACAAATAATTTGTAAACCGTCCAATTTTATGACAAGCAATCAAAGCAGCTCTAAAAGTTCGACATGAATTAATATTAAACGTCAAAGTGTGATAGTTAAAGTCAAATTATTAAAACAAGGCTAGCCTGTTCTTCCTAACAATTGGAATTAGCTACTCATCGTTTTATGCAAATACATGTTGAGATTTGGATATATCACTCGGTTTTGGAAAAGAAGAAGAGAGAAGAAAGAGATGTGGAGACGAAATCCGTGATCCAAGGTTCGAAATGTAGCACCTATCTTATTCTTCCATCTTATTCCTTGTAAAACCATAGGTTTAGAGCCGAGTGAATGTGTTTTTCTCATAAAATTGCCAACCCTTCCGATGCCTCTAAAGTTGTATATTTATAAGTTGTTGACAGCATCGAAAAATTCGTACCAAAAGTTGCAAAAATACCCTTAAATTTGTCCACAGAAATTAGCAGTCGAATTCAAAATTTTAAATTTTGCCGAGGAAATTTATGGCTTGATTTTCTCCCCAGCAAAATGAATCAGAGGCAGTATTTAAAATTTCGCCACGGCAAACTATGATATGCGAGAGCCAGAGAGGAGGCTTTTCTCTTATCAGTTTCGCCTTACTTGGGATTTTTTTTTCAATTTTTTCCTTCTTTCAATGCACAGAAAGAGTTCCTTTCTTCATCATTTCGGCCAATTTTAACTGTTCACTAAAATAACAAGTACACAATATCACCACAAGTATTATAACAGTGAGGTAAAGTGTCATTCCCTCAGTTTAAGGACTTGCAAATCTTTTTATTGTTACTATACTATTATGGATTTTGGATTGAGTGATACTGACGATAATGAAATAAACAAGAAAATAAACCAAAAGATTTACGTGAAAATCCAATATGGGAAAAAACCACGGGCAGATGAGGAGAAATCCACTATAATCAATAGCAGTTGTGTTTGCAAGATCTCAATGCACTCAGTTGAAATCTAAAACTCTGAAGATGTTGTATGAATCTCTCTGTATTATGTTCTATTCTTCTATACAAGTCGTGATATATATATACACACACATAAACCTGGAGAACAAGTTGTAGAAAAATAGGAGTTCAAAACTGCATAAAAATAGAAAAAGGGGCCTGGGCTGGACAAGCCTGTCGCTCGAGCGACATGAGGGCTACAGCCTCGCCGGCGAGCGACCAAGTCTCGGGTTGTTTTCTAGTGGGCTCACTCGAGCGTCTTGGCTAGTGAAAATGGGGCGACTTTTTCCTCCAGTCCATAAATTCGATCTCTTCAAGATCACTCCAATACCCACTAGAATTTGGGTCAAACTACTACATATCCTATGGTTAAAAGTAAGAATTTTAAAAAGTAAATCTGGCCCTTGTTTATGTAAAGTTAAGCGGCACATTGCAACTAGCTTGGCAACAGCCAAACCACTCAGACATGAAGCAGAACCACGAGCATTTTTGAAAGAAGAAAAAAAAAAAAGAACAACAAACTATTAAAGTCGTACAAGCCATAAGACAGAACAAAATGGAAAAGCAACTAGCAAAACCGTATTAATGTTACTGGTCGGTATAGTGATTTAGCTAAAGGACAGAGTTGTGTTCCACCGAATAGGTTCCTGGAGAGTTACTGCATAATTGGTTAGAGCATCGATCTGCAACTTTATTTCCTTCCCTGTAAATATTTGATCTGAAAAAATTCAGCTTAGAGATGTAGTGCAAATACGATGCCCATTTACAGCGAACCTGCCAAGGTACCTCCTTTGAACTGATGTTTAAAAATTGCACCACATATTTGCAGTCACTTTTTCAAGCATAAGTTATACCATGTATCATTGCCAGCAGCTCTGTTTCAACAAGGGCGGATCAGGCGGATCCAGGAAAAAATCTAAGGCAGGATAATACACAAAAAAAAAAAAAAAATAATAATAATAATAATAAATATTTAAAAAT